CGACTCTGAAGGTTCAGGTTTGAGTCCATCACTACTCCCAGGTTTCTAGCTGTAATAACTGAAGCTGTGTAAATGTTATCCCCTCTCTTCTGTTTGCTCAGGTGCAGCCCTACGACAGGATCAAGGCGAAGGGACTCCCAGGAAGCATCACTTCCTGCCTCAACAAGCTCGTCGTGGTCAAACTGAACGGAGGTCTGGGAACCAGCATGGGCTGCAAGGGCCCCAAAAGTCTGATCAGTGTCCGCAACGAGAACACCTTCCTGGACCTGACTGTGCAGCAGATCGAGGTGCAGCAGCAGCTCTGCAGTGGGAAGAAGCATTAAGATCAGCTGCTCATGTTTTCAAAACTCTTTTTGCTCGTTTTGTTTGCAGCATCTTAACAAAACCTTTAATGCTGACGTGCCGCTGGTTCTCATGAACTCTTTCAACACTGATGAGGACACCAAGAAGATCCTGCAGAAATACACACACCACCGGGTCAAAATCCACACATTCAACCAGAGCAGGTGCACAACGCACTGACATCCATTTGGTTTCCTGTAACTAGTTGCTTAAGAAGCTAAATGAGACATCAGAACAGTTTTTAAATCAAGGAAAGCATATGCACATTTTATTTCATGGCTTAATCCAAATTGTGTTCGTAAAGATGGTGGCATCGTATTCAAAAAGATTTGAGGCTTCAAAAGCTGTCAAATGTGGATCAGCAAACTTTTGAGCAAAGGCTGTGATTTCTGGGGGGGTTTTATTGCAAATGTCAGTCTTGGAGTAAATTACTTCCAAAAATTTTATTAAGTAATGTTTATTATTTCAGCTCCCGGTTCCTCAAGATGATCTCCAATCTGGATGGTACGAGTTGTAGGCTTTTAGGGGGAAATGTCTTATCCCTTTTCACTACAAAAACACAAATCTTACCNAGTATTTCTAGTGCAAATATCTTAGTACACTTGAANTAAAGCAAAAATAACTTTTCAGCAAGATATAGGAGCTTGTTTTAGTAATTAATTCCTAATATTGATGAAAATGTACCACTGTATTTCCACTGTCAGATTATTTCACTTTTAGGGGAAATGTCTTGTTTTAAGTTAAATGATCTTCCAGTGGAACTAATACTTTTTAAAATTAATATTGGGGAATTACTTTCCTAAAACAAGCTCCTGCATCTTGCTAAAAAGTTACCTACCTTTAAGTTAGTTTTTATTTTAAGTGTACGAAGATATTTGGACTAGAAACCAGACCAAGATTTTGTTTTTTGCAGTGCAGGATGTTGGCAGTCAGAAAGATTTGCTCCATTTCAAACTTACTGGATCAAAAAACTGTTTGCTGCTCAAACAAATTTTTTTTTTTTTTAATTTTGTATCACATGAAAGACAAAATATTTCAGTTGTGTGAAAATTTAACTGTAAAAAAGTCTCAATAAGCTACATTTCATTCAATCAGGTATCCGAGAATCAACAAGGAGTCTCTTCTGCCGATCGCTAAGAGCATGGGCATGAACGGAGAGAACACGGAGGCCTGGTACCCGCCGGGTCACGGAGACATCTACGCTAGCTTCTGCAACTCCGGACTGCTGGACAAACTCCTTGCTGAGGGAAGAGAGTACATCTTTGTGTCCAACATCGACAACCTGGGAGCCACTGTGGATCTCTTCATCCTCCACCACCTGATGAGCCAGCCGGCCGACAAACGCTGCGAGTTCGTCATGGAGGTCACAGACAAGACCAGAGCTGACGTCAAGGTGAACACGGTTTATCCTGCTGTCCGGTTTCTGCACCGATCTGAGGAATCTGCTCAGTCCCGTCTTCGTCTTGGTCTCTGCAGGGTGGAACTCTGATCCAGTATGAGGATCATCTGAGGCTGCTGGAGATCGCTCAGGTCCCCAAAGCCCACGTGGACGAGTTCAAGTCCGTCACCAAGTTTAAGATCTTCAACACCAACAACCTGTGGATTTCCCTGCCGGCCATCAAGAGGCTGCAGGAGAACAACAGCATGGACCTGGAGATCATCGTAAACCCAAAGGTAAGTCGAGAGGGCCTCTGATTTAGAGTAGACTCCATTTGATTAAGACCAAAATTGCAGCATTTAAATTTTTCAGTTGGTGCGGTTCGCTTTCACACTGTGTCAAACGAACCAAACCCTTTGAAAAGCTGTTCACCTCCTCACCTTTGGTGGCGCTGCCCCATGAACCACTGAAGGAAACAACACAAAAACCTCTGAAGAAGACACTGAGCTCAACTTTCTTCTTCACTAGATGTAAACAAAAATGGAGTGGTGTCAGATTTTAGCAGTTGTAGGATTTCTCTTTTGTCTTTGGCTGAAGACCACAAACAATTTCTCCCTCTACAGCTAGATTTGCACATTTGTTTTGGTTATATTTACCCAGAATGCCCTTCACAATAATCCGTTTCCTGCTTTTGGAGCAGTGTCCAGTCCACTTGGACCATTTATGCATTCGAACCGAACTGAGACCGAGGTTTTTAGGAGACCAGAGTTCTCTTGTTTGGTTCGCATTAGAGTTTGATTGTGCACTCACACCTCTCCAAAGCGGACTAAACAGGGCTGGTATGAATGCACTCTAACTTTTTTAGGGAGCATTAACAGCAGCCCTGTTCAGTCCTCACACTGCAGTTTGTTTGCCTAGATAGTCCGGTTCATTTGGGGAGGAGTGAATGCACAATTGAACTCTGGTTTGCCTACAACCCTCGGTTTGGTTGAAGTGAACTCGTGCAGTTTGAATCCATATGTGAACGCCAAGTGGACCGGAGACCGCTTCAAAAGCAGGAAGCGGACTATAGCATAGAGCATTCTGGGTAAATACTACCAAAACAAAAGCATGACTCCAGAGCGATCTGGAGAAATGGCTCATAGTCTTTTACCAAAAACAAAAGAGAAATCCTACAACTGCTAAAACCTCATGCCTCTCCATTTCTGTTTCTATTTTGTAAAGAAGGAAGTTACGCTCATGTTTTCATGTCATTTCCTTCAGTGGTTCTAGATGCAGCGCCACCACAAGTGACGGGGGTGAACGGGTTTTTCTGTTGGTTCTATATTATTTGGGACAATCCAGTGAGAAAGTGAACCAGCTGAAGATTTAGCAAAAGTTACAACTTTGGTCCCCAATCGAACTGAGTCTCCTGAACCATCACTTATGAAAACAACATCCACGGATTGTATTCTTTGACTCGGAATGTGAAACATTTTGGATTGACCTGAACTTTTATCTCCTCTGCAGACATTAGATGGTGGTCTGAATGTCATCCAGCTGGAGACGGCAGTGGGCGCCGCCATCAAGAGCTTTAAGAACGCCATGGGAGTGAACGTCCCCCGTAGCCGCTTCCTGCCGGTGAAGACCTCGTCCGACCTCCTGCTGGTGATGTCCAACCTGTACAGCCTGGACGCCGGATCGCTCACCATGAGCAAGAAGAGGGAATTTCCCACAACGCCACATGTTAAACTGGGCAGCTCCTTCACCAAGGTCGGCAACCATCACAACCTGTTTCTGCCATTTACCGTATTTTCCAGACTATAGATTGCACCTTACTATTAGCCGCATCTACAAAGTTAAAAAACAAACAAACAAAAAGACAGAAACGTACATATATGAGCCGCTGGTATCCGCTGCTCTCGGTTTTGCAATCTGCTATTAAGGACGCAGCTCTGCGTCTCCAACACCAAACCATAGATTTGTTCACGCCGAGTTTACATGCAGCAGCTACCAATCTGTACTTCCAGATCCTTCAACTTAAAAGCTGCATCATATAAACTTCTTCATGTGGTTTCCATGATGAGGGGCTGTGAGTTTCAAAACATGAAAATCAACACTTTCTTCCTTGATTTCCAATTTTGACTTCCAATGATTCACTTCCTGCTAAAGCGCCCCCTGGTGGTTGAAGAAAAATTCACAGAAAAGCCGCACAGGGCTGTAAGCCGCATGGTTCAAAGTGTGGGGGAAAAGTAGCGGCTTATAATCCGAAAAATACGGTAATCTGTAAACAAATTTCAAGCAGAAGCCAGACTGATGATGGCGAAACATGCTTTAAGTTTCTGCTGTTTGTTTCTGCAGGTTCAGGACTTTCTGACCAGGTTTGAAAATATCCCAGATATGTTGGAGTTGGATCACCTCACTGTGTCCGGAGACGTGACCTTCGGGAAGAACGTCTCTCTGAAGGTAAAACTGAGATATGGCCAGTTTTTCACGTTTTACTTACAGGGTGTTGATTTCAATTAATTAATAACATAGAAATTAACGCAATTAATCACTTTTTTGTAATAAAGTTCTGAGTGGAACCTGTGTATCGGCACGGTTCTGATATATGCAGTTTACATTAACTTTTTTTCTGGATATGTGTCTACCATTAAAATAAAAAAGTTAAATTTCATCAAGTAATCGCTGTGATTAATGTAAATTCCTCCTGATTTCTGTCCTGCTGTGGTTGTCATTTTTTCCTTTTCTGTATAAATAATCAAAATATCTAATAAATATACAAGTAAAAAGATTATTAAAGTATAAATACTGGCTATTGTTCATTTTCAGTAAAAAGCTGGATAAGTGCCCAACTTAAATTCTATCTGTGGGCCACAAATGGCCCTCGGGCCACACTTTGGACACCCCTGGTGTACATAAATAACTTTGATTTAATGTCCAACCAACAATAAGTTTGATTTCAGGTAAAGTGAAATCATGAAATGCGTCATTCTCACCAGGGAACCGTCATCATCATCGCCAACCACGGCGACAGGATCGACATTCCGGCCGGAGCGATGCTGGAGAACAAGATCGTCTCAGGAAACCTGAGGATCCTCGATCACTGAGGCCTTCTGGGAGGAAGGCCTCATGGTGTCGTGTGGCACATGGCGCCCACACAACACCATGTACACGATGGGGAGATTTCTGCTGTTTCTCAGACAGGAAATGTGAATGTTTAGGTCAGGTTTGTTCTCTGAAGACACCAAGTCGTCAGACCTGTTGCTGCAAGACAATAAAGCTGTATATGATTGGAGTACTCTGTCGTCTGTTGAACTGAAATGAGCTTTTATAAAATTTGGTTGATTTAATGAAAGTAGGACGGTGATGTTTTAAAAATTCTCAGTCTTCTGAATTTTATTTGAAGCTGTAAGTGAAAACGGATGTAATATACACTGCTCAAAAAAATAAAGGGAACACTCAAATAACATCCTAGATCTGAATGAATGAAATATTCTCATTGAATACTTTGTTCTGTACAAAGTTGAATGTGCTGACAACAAAATCACACAAAAATCATCAATGGAAATCAAATTTATTAACCAATGGAGGCCTGGATTTGGAGCCACACACAAAATTAAAGTGAAATGTTCCCTTTATTTTTTTGAGCAGTATATTTGTCTAACCCAGCGGTCGGCAATCTTTGACGGCCAAAGAGCCATTTGTGCCAAATGCATTTTGCCCAGAGCCACAAAGTTGCACCGTTATGGGGTGGGAGGAAGCACTGTGTATGTTTCTTCTAAATAACTGAGATAGAAAAATGTGTGCTCTGATTAAATCAACTTGTTTTATATTAGGAAGTGTGGCGGCCTCGGACTGAACGGTTTGAGTTCACTTCCATTGGTAAAACTACAAGCAGACTACAAATCTAAAACAGCGCAGAAATCCGACGTCATCGTTAACTTCTGCTTGCTGATTGGCCCGGATGAAATTATACCAGAGGAATCCAGGTCAATGGGAGAAATATGGAGCTAAATTGGGGCCATAAAGTGTTCTAAGTCTGAAACTGAAAAAAAAAAAACCTTTAATCTGAAAAGTGAGCTGTGAATTGAGATTGAGTAAAGTGGGACAGCATAGGAAGGCGATGGCTAATGAAGTGTTGAATAAACTCCCTCTTTGAAATGAAATCCGACTGGCAGCAGAAAACATGCCACAAATAACCAGAACACAATGCAGTCCATCATCCCATTTTATTCACAGCAGGATTGAAGAAATCAACATCTTTTGGACTCTCACACATGCTTCCAGACTCTCTCTCTCTCTCCTTTGCACAGACACACAGTGGTATGGTAGGCACACTGTGTCGAAGAGCTCAGGTGTGTCGTCTAACAGCAGATCAAAAGGAGGCACTTCTGATGCAAACAGTGGTGAGCGTTTATGCTTCGAGTGTCGTACAGGAGACGGATGTGCTCAAGAAGTTTCCAGTTCACCGACTTCAGACTATCACTGATTCACATCCCATGTTTGTTAGGATTTTATCGGTTCTCCTTCGCAGGAGAACGTAGCACCCCGACTTCCCCCTAAATTATGATTGAACAGAGGCAGCCGAAGTGGGGAAACGCAGCTGAACAGAACTAAACGCACTGAACCTTTAAACCTGTAGGGACTTTAAGTCAATCCAACCGTTTCATAATCTGCCAGTGAAAAGCTACAAGCTGGTCTCTGCTCTCCTCTTCATCATCGTGCTCTGATAATTACCAAACAGTGGGTGTGTATGGGATTCTCTGATGATAAAAAAAAAAAGAAAAGCCTGAGTAGCAACCAGCTGAAGAAGACGTGATGCATGATTGGTTAAACAGCAGAATCCCCACGTTAGAAACAATTTGACTTTGGTAATGACAGGATGAAGCTGAGGTTTGAGATGTTTTCACAGTCGGGGAGACTTTAGATTCTTCAGGATCACGATTTTCCCACAACAAGTCCCAAAAAGCTGTTTTGTTAATAGTATAAAAGTAAGAAAAACCCTTTAAACATCGCAGCCAGCTGAAGGAAAAAAGTTCGTCCCAGTTACGAATGTTTGCAAGAAGTCAGAAAAATAAATTACCCCACCATTAGTTTTCCTTCCTCCCACTAAGCAACTCCAATAATTTACTAGCGTTTGAGTTGAACTGCACACAGTGGGACGAGGTGGCGATAGCTTAAGGGAGACTGTGTGCGTTTTCTTTAGTCTCTGTAGCCGTCAACGTTCCAGCTCGCCGTCGCTGCTCCTCTTCTCCTAGATTAGTGTTTTTTGGTCCCTGCGGGGCCTCCTCCGCCCCTCGTCTCAGGCGGCCACTTGTGGCCAGGATCAGCCGTCGGTTCTGGGCGTTAGGGTATCGTCTGATCTGGACGTCCAGACTCCATCACCTCTTCTGCTCCCAGATCTCGGCCATGTTCAGGTCGAGTCGCTCCAGGCTCTTCAGAGCCAGGATGTTCTCCGTGTAGAAGGCCACATCCACCACCACCAGCCTGCAGACACAGTTTATAATAACTGATATTGGGAAACTTATTGCAAGTGTTTCATTATTTTAACAATTGCAAATGACGGAAAATATTTTCAAAAAGTGGCTTTTATTTTCCTGCGAGTTGTACGATGGCAAATACAGGATCATCATTTTTGTTTAACTATGAGAATAAAGTGATATAAGCAGAATAAATATGCAGCTTTGCCAGAAAAAACATCATAAAATTACAGAAAAAGTTGGTTAATGTGAAAAAAAGTTTGGTAAAGTCATCAGGATCTGATGAAACCAGATCGGTTTGTGTTGTTCCTTCTCTGAAATACTCTGTTGTTTACACAACTGTTTGAAAATCCTGCTACTGCTAATTTGATTCTGATGTGTTTAAAAATTAAGTATTTCTATTAAATACTTACCTGTAAAACTTTCATCAAAGTGCAACCATTTTTTAAGTTGGAATTCTCATGAAACTACCAGGTTTTACTATTTACTATTACTATTCTATGTTTAATCGTTGTGCAGATTAAAACAAAAATGATTTTGTATTTTAAGTTGGAAAACTGTTTGGCCCAACAGAGTACTTTCTATTTTAGGATTCTGGTTCTTGTTGTTATAAGTTTTATTCTATTAACTTATTGATCTATACAAACTGTTCAGTGCTGCTTATGTTGCAATTTTGGGTTTAAAAGAATGTATGAAATCACAACTAAAACTAAGATTATTATTAGAAAGAGGTAATGAGTGTGTGTGTGTGTGTGTGTGTGTTACCCATGCTGCGGTCCTCCATCATTACTGACCCCGAGTCGAGCCAGCTGCCTCTTAAGGTGCATTTTAAAACAAGCATTGATCCTTAGAAACAGCATCTGTGCAGGAAAACACGTTTCCATTCCAGCTCAACTTTTTTTTTTTTTTAAATAAAACATTTTATTTTACTGAATGGTGACCTTTAACCCAGAACCTCACCTGAGTCTGTTCTTCAGGCAGCAGCTCAAAGATGGCTTCATGCATCTTGGCCATCTGTTTACAGATGTTTCTGAAGCAGGCCGACGGCATCGGGGCTTTCACTTCATACTGAGGGAAAAAGCAGGTAACTCACCCTGCAGATCGACCTGAACTTCACACCCAGCAGCAACAAGGTCACTTAATAAACTCAACTTATGATCTCTTGATTGATTTGGGGTTTTGTTTTAAAGGTGCTGCGGTGAAAGTGCTGCTAAGGAGGTACAAAACCAAAACACTGCCACTTATAATCATTTAATTTTGACGTCATTAGTCCAGTTTCCAGATTTTAAAAAAATAACATAACTTCGTGAACAAAATGTTTGACGACACCATCGTCAAACAGCCACACCAAGACAAAGGAAGCTAATAGAAAGAAAGGCACAGAAGAAGTCTGTGTGGATGTTTAGCTGGAGCTAACAATGATGTGATTGTGATGTGATGCACTTCAGTGACTCAGACTAATTATAATTTTCAGCCACTGTTTACACACGTTTCAACAATGACGTAAAAGTTGGATGAAATTTGGCGTCATCGTTGAGACTGGAGACACTTTGAAAACAATCGTATCAGTATCTGATTTAGTACTACATGTGGAAGTGGCAAAGATCAGATTTTTGGGGGTGAAAAGTTCAGAATCGGGTTGTTTAGACTGGGTTACTGTGTGAACGTAACCCAAATGATTTTTTCCAATATATCTCAACTTGAAATAATCAGCCAGCAAAGCCGGAACAAAATGTTCCCAAGGCCGGTACAAACCGGCATGATTAGTATAAAAGTACCACTGTCAACCCGGTCGCTTTCAGAACCACAGAAAAGACCAAGATGGCCGAATGATGAGACAGAGAAGGAGTGAGAAGACCAGCTAATCATTTGGTCATGTTAGATTCATGCAAAAAGAGTTTCTGATGTTACCTTTGATAAAAACTTCTCAAACAGACTGTCCATGATGGCCACCAGCTTAGCAGAGATTTCTGCGATGTGATCGTTGTAGTCCTGCAAAACAAAAAACAACCTCCAGTGATCACACCAAGGACCTGGATATAAAGTCAAAATGATTTTTTTAGTTACCTTCATGATGTGGTCAAAGTGTCTGAGAACACTGAACTGTTTGGGCTGCAGCTTGGTCTCAAAATGTGCTCTGATGATGGGAATGTAGTGAACCACCAGCTGCAGGCAGCGGGATGCTAATGCTACACACACACACACACATAGCAATGCCGTTCAGAATCAAACAAAACCAAGTCAGAATGACGGGTTCAGTGTTGGTGCGTACCCAGGTTTTTTGTAGTGATGGTCTTGAGGCCGACGACCTGCAGAGCTCCTGCTCCGAGGACCAGCTGGCAGCTGCGGGAGTTAAAGTGCTGCAACAGGAAGAAAACAGGAAGCAAACCTCAAGATTGTTGGTTAATCTTGACTTTCAAAGTGTCAATTCCACAAAAACAGAGGCTAAAAAACATATACCACACATCTGCATCTACAGTACAAAGAAAACAAAGAAGTAGATACTTCTTTGTTTTCGAGACATCTCTGACATTAACCGTCAGAACACAGTCGTCACGGCAACTCTCTTCTGACGAACTGGGTTGGGACGTCCGTCTGTCAAGCTCCTCACCTTGAGCAGGTCTGACAGACGTGTTAGCATGTCTGTGGCGATGGATGGGATGTCGTTCACACACTGACAGTATTCCAGAAAGATCCGGATCAGCAGCAGAACGGTTCTGAACAAACGGAGAGGAGATTTTCAGAACAAACCTGCTCTGGTTGCTGCATTCAGTTCATGTGTTACGGCTATCAACGGATAAAAAAGTGTCATTGGATT